CTAATGGGGGTAAAATTCTACAGTTGCAAGCAGCTGTGGCTTGAGAGGGTTAAAGAATTCAGCTACAATTACTTTACTATATAAATGGAGAATTTGTAGTTGGTGTACATCCCAGGCCTCCTGCCTTGTGTTATGTCCAGTCCAGCAGCTGATTTCTTTCTTTCTGTAAATGTTTGAGCTGGCAGAAGAAAAAAAAGTTCTTATCATAAATAAAAACACTTGCCTCTTAATCGCCAGTAATTGAAAGTTCTTGGAATTACATCATTAAACTACAAAAAAACAGCAAAAAGACTAATTAGAGTGGACTGGCCACTTTGCTAAAATATATCACTGCTGTTCACTGAATCTAATTTGACCACAGTTTGTCCTTAAAGGCAGCAGAGATTATTAGCCTAATGCATGTGCAAAACAGGAGCAATTCCAAAAGATAAATTGCTAAACTCAAGACGCGTCTCCTTTGTGCATTCATTTTCTGTTTGCAGAGAAATCTGCTGAGACTTTAAGCTATGCAATCCCACGTGCCTAAAATCTTTCATTTAACTTGACGTTAACTAACTTTAACTTTGCCCCAACCAAAATATTCAAATATTCAGATAGCCATATATATTCATCTGTGCAGTCCCAGTGTCATTTAAAAGTTTATACTAACCAGCTATCCAACCCTTATTTATTCCAACATCTTTGCAATACTGATAGTGATTAGTACTGATCTACCCTGTGAGAAGTTTCCTCTCGATGAAAGCGGGAGGGGGAAGAAGTGCCCGCTCACACGTCTGCTTTCACAAACACTTGAAATTATAAATGCAGTGTTCCTCTGACAGGTAAAACTCCAAGTGTGACGACGATTTCAAAAAGCCTGAAATTGCTGTTGCACTGTCGCACTCAGACGGGCAAAAATGTTGAGTTCCAAACTGATTTGTCGTGCCTGAAATTATAACAGTATTGTGGCTTTCACAGGTGTAATTTAAGCTATTGTCTCGCAATCATATGCTTGAATTTTGTTGTAATCCAAACGTCTGATATTAAGGTCATCTCGCGGTATTGTTTTCACAGTCCTCATACAAGACTGTGTTTGGTGGAACAGCTCAAGTTTGCATGTAATGTGCTATCTGCAGAAGCTGACAGGTGACGGGAGAGAGGCGGGGAAGGAGGGAGGGCTGAGATAGGTGGACAGACATGCAGGCAGTGAGGAAGCCTTCGGGGCAGGAAAAAAATAATATCGAAACTCTTCCTTCCATCCATCTGCCTGTCAGTTTTGACAGACAACTCAGCACAGGTACATATGAGAACTGCAGTAAAAGAGGCGAACATTATCACACATATTAAAACAAGCTGAGTGTTAGGCTCTAACGTTTTGCAAAGAAAAGCGTCTGGGGGGCGATTAGAGGATCATCAGGGGGTCCTTTTGTCCCTCTGTGGGGGGTTACTCCCACTAGGTTTATATCTGGGACTCTCCACCATTTGACCTTAGAACTGAAGAAGCTTCTCGGATGAGAGGTGAAAC